AAATTTAAATTATAAAATATATTTCATAACTTTTATATTTTTATTTTTTTATAAACTCTTATAAATAAAAATAAAAATCAATTGAATAAAATTTTTAAAAATTTGTGAACAATGAATAATTATAAAATAATGAATAACGAATAACAAAATTAAATTTGAAAAGAACATTGCAGCATATAGTATATTGCAGCGCAATGCAGTAATTGATAGAAAAAGTAACTATATATATATATATATATATATAGTAAGAGGAAAGAATTTAACATAGCATTATTTTTATATGTTCACATACTAATAACAAATTCTAATATCTAATGAATCAAAGAATCATTAAAAAGTATTCATTATAAAGTTGTGTAAGCTGTAGAAAAAAAAAAAAAAAAAATATAAAGAAACAAATGCAATATTGATTTCGTGTTACATAAAAGATACAATCGAGTTTTCATCAGTTGCAGTTCTTGCAATTTTTTTCAGTTAGGTCTTCCTTATATCAACACGATGATTTCTTCTTTCTCTTCTTATCATATCGATGTAAATTATTGAATTATGATATTTCATATTATAATCAATATTTGCATAAAAAAAATTAATTCAACTGAGAAAAATTAATATAAAATAAAAAAGTACATTGTAGAGGATATTCCAATGTACTAAAAGATTATGGTGTTCCAGATGTTAGTCAGAGAACTCCTACAATAGTAACACTTGTAGTACTTCCTCGATTCTTATCCGGAACAGATTGTACTCAATTTCTAAATTGAATTTCATTATAAAAATAAATCACGGAAAGGAAATAAGTTGCCTGGAAATTAAAATGAAGATTTTATCGTGTGGGAAAAGAATAAAATTTTAAAACGAGATATTCTTAACAATTAAAAATTATTAAAATCGAAAAAAAAATTCGAAAAATGTACGTTATATAATTGGAAATAATTATTTTTGTTGGAAAAATATGATCTTTTATTTTTAACATCGATCTTATATTAAAAAGGAAAAAATTAAATAAGATAATATCTAAATTTAATTAATATTCATATTTCTAAAAAAAAAAAAGAAATAACCGTCTTGAAAAAAACGTCCTATTAAGAAAAGTGACTTTTGTAAAATTTAAAGCACTGCGACAGTGATACTGTATCGACTTTTTATAAGAAGCAACTTTTTTTATAACATTTAATGATTCGTTTTAAATATTTATATAATATTTTAATAATCATAAAAAAAACGAAAAAAATTACAATAAAAGTGTTTAAACCTAAAATTCTTTAACAAGATAAATTAATTTGCGATTAACGTTTGAAAAATGTTTGCAATAACACAGTTTCATGAAAACAGTGCAACGTTTAAAAATGAAGGATTTAGAAATGTCGTTAATTATACGTTGCTGCGTGTAGCGTTTGCTACAATCGTTAAATGGTGAGTTTAAAGAAACAATTCCGTAACTGGTCGAACTTAAAGCTGCTAGTCGAATTCAATTGCAGCTCTTTTTTAGTAAGTGAAAAAAAAAAAGAGCAACGAAAGTTTCCAAAAGCAGGTTATTTTTGCTCTTCTTCTTCTTCTTTTTTATTTTTTTAAGAAAAATTATGTTAATTTTGATGCAATTTGTTAAAATTTGGAATTTTGGTTCATAGAACTTGGCCCACGCGAGGGTTATCGAGCGACCCACTTTCTCCCCTCCCTCCGCTGCATTCTCTCATACTCTTCGAATTCTCTATTCTCCCTGCACTGTGTGGTACCGTGACCAAGGGGATGTGTTCCTCGTGTTAATCTATTAATAAATTATAAAAATTTGTATTATTATATTATATATGTATATATGTTTATGCACGCTATATATTACTATATTTTTGTTCCTTGAAAATGAGTTTTACAATCATTCTAAACAAAGCGCAAGAAAATGACAATTAGCAAGAATAACAATTGAATAATCATCTCTTTTAAATATTTATATGAATCATTTAAGTATTCATTAAGGATCTAATTATAATTTTTATTAAGAATTATTTAAAATATCATATTATTTTATAATTATTTTATATTTAATATATTATTGTATTTTAAATTTATATATTTATTCTTAAGTATTAATAATAATGTATAAGTTTTTGGAAGAAATTTATTGATTTATAATATCGATTTTTTAAAGATCAATAAAAAATATATCTAGAATACTAAATTATTGAATCCTACAGAATAGAAATATTATTGTCTTTATCTATATTCTTTCTTCTTTCTTCATCAGAAATGTTTTTATATCAATAAAAAAAGGGTAATCTCTTCGTTTTAGTTCCTGTCGATTACATAAGGACCTGCAATGTCACGCAGCGCTTGTTAGTTCCTCACGCGACTCACCCCTACCGTCTATCCAGCCACCCTGCCCTATTTACTGCTGATCGAACGTCTCGTGTGGTTTCAAATGTCGTTGAAGAGCCTCCCATATATACATACTTTTGATCAATGTTTTCACACTTCACTATAATTGTCAGAATAATAATAATAATACAGAAATTTTATTAATCTATCGATATCACTCTGACTTGTCTTTCTTCAATGAGATTTATTATCATAGTCGACGATTTTAATTGTATACTTGAATACATTTTAGTATCTATAAAAAATTGTATATAAAATTATTAGAATTTTTATTAAAAGAATGCAAAAAATATAACGTGTTTAATATTCATAAAAAATGTATATAAATGTATATAATATGTGGGTGATTAAAAATTAAATAATTTCTTTGCATCATTAATTAGAAGTTATCATTAAATGGAAAAGAAATTTTATATTTTAATGAAACGAAACTTTTTATTAAAAGCTTGTAGAATAAGCCAGTGGAAGGTCCTACAAAATTTATCTAGTCAAGGTCAGGGTATGGAACTGTTTCATCTATATTTTCGCGCGCTCAAGGTAAATTCAAAGTGAAGATGCTGACAAAGAAAAAAAATTTCATTTATATCATTTTTTTCTTTCATAATTAAATATTTTTCCATTAAATTCTATCGATATTCTTCTCTTAATAAATTTTGTAAAAAAATTTAAAAATGTTAAGAATATATGTATATAGTTCAAAAAAAAAATTTTTTTAAATTTTACTCAATAATTCATTAAGATAAAAAGTATAATATAACATAATAATATTATAATGTAACATAAATGACAAAAATGATTAAATTATAGTTTCAAAGATTGAAATCAATAAATATATCTATTTGCTGCCCAGACTTTTGTTATAAAAATTTGCAAAATTTGTACTTCTCTCAATAGATCTCTTTTCCCATGTGTATATCAGTAGGTCATCGCATGTATTGGTCGGGGTCTTCCTGCTCGATATCAGCTGGTGCTGTAACCAGACTCGTTGGGAGGGTGAATGGGGTTGCCTGGTGACGTCACAACGCGGCAGGGTCGTAGCCAATCAACAAGACTTTACAAATCAAGCATAAATTCTAAAATTTGAAATACAGCAGCAATTCCTAAAAGAAATTAAATTTTTATTAATTATATTAAATTATACTTATTATTAATTTTATTAAATCATATTGCAATTTATCATCAATATAAAATATTAAATACAGAAGAACTAAAAAATTGGAATTAATTCAATTATAACATTAATTCTGAATAATTTGATCAATAAATTATTTTTTTTTTAATTTACTTTGACTATTTTATCAAATCAAATAATGATTTATTTAAATTAGGAATAATAACAATGAATGACAATGTTAAACATATTTATTTGTGTTATAAAACTTTTAACAAACATTAACAGATTAATAGTATCCATAATAAGAAATATTTGAATATAATGGCTTAGTTTTAATTAAATTGCAGTACGCGATAAAAGTAGCGCGCAAACAACTACGACTCAATATGGATTCAGCAGTTCTTCCGAACCTACCTTATTTTAATCAATAGTATAGTTTAATATTTCAAAGTTTCGTAATTTCATTATGTGATGTTTATAACATAAAAACTTGATATGATTTTTATTCGAATATTTCCTTCTTAAGTCATATGTTTGCTCTAATTATCCTAAAATTAAAATTTTATTTTTTTTATATATTTATTAGAAATATATAAATAATTATTATAAATAAAATATATTTTTATATATATTTATTTTATATATTATATATTATATTTTATATTTTATATATATATATTTTTTTTATATAATAATTGTATTTTCTTTATTTATAATTTATAAAAAATTTTAAAATAATATTCAGTGCTTCATATTAAATTCATTTTTTGTAGGAGAAGCAATAATATGTTATCAATGCAACAGCGAATACGATCCAAGGTGCGGCGATCCATTCGATCCGTACAGTCTTGGAACCGTGAACTGCAGTTTTCAACCACGCTTGGAACATCTAAGTCATTTGGAGCCTACTCTTTGTCGAAAAATCAGCCAAAGAGGTATATCCAAAAAAATTATTTATCGTATGCATAATATAGCTTTGGAAAATTATTTAATAAATTTTGTATCTGAAATATATAATAAATTATTCAAACTATTTATGGATTTTAACCATTATTAAAATCAATATTATTATACATTGGCATATGTTATTGAGCAAACATTATATTAACATTGTGACAATTAAACTTCAAAAGATTTAAAATCAAAGTAAAATAGTATACATGTTTTTTATATAAAGCTTATAAATATTAAAATTAAAAACTTACAAATTCCACGATCTATTCTTCGGGAGTATATATATATATAATTTATATTATTACTTATATTCTAAAAGCAAAAATTTATTTAAATCTGGAATAAATTTTGAAATTCCATCGTTCTTCATAGACTATGCATATTTTATTATTATGTATCAAATAATTTTCAAAAAATTTTCTATAGTAATTTATACTATATATACTAAGTATAAAAGAATTTGGTTTAATTGGTTGTTATTTAACTTTATAACAAGTTAGTTATTTTTTTATAGTATTTAAGTACCGTTTTTGTTATAAAAATATGAATTTGTAAATCTAGTAACGCTATGATTTTGATCAATTTTCAGTGTATGGCAAGATCAGAGTTGTCAGAAGTTGCGGATATATTACGGACCAGAGAGACAATGCCGATTGCCTGATGAGATCAGGCACTCACGACGTTCACGCAGCTTATTGCGCATGCACCGGTGATCTCTGTAACTCGGCCGAAAGCCATACACCGTCCTTCTTACTGCCGTTAACGTCTCTGTTGACGGTTATTTTGACGATGCCGAGTTTATTCCTTTCATACCCGTTCGCATTACCCGTCTTGACTTCGCCGCACTTCTCCATAGCCTAAACTTCGCAGTTACCAAAGGATAATACTTAATGCCTAAAACTGAATCAACGATAACATAGAAAACACCGTTCGGATCCGGAGCAACTCGTTTTCGTCCGATTCCCTATCTATTCGAAACGCTACATTTTCAGGTTAGATCGATTCTAGACTTGACAATATAATATATATATTATCGATCAATCTTAAATAACATTTAAATTTTAGAAATCAAATATTTCAATAATTTCTCTAAATGATCAATTTGACTTTTTAAATATATAATAATTTCCAGCGAAACGAAATATAAGGGAACTGAGATTGTTAACGAGTTGAATATAATTACAGCTATTGTAGCTGTTATTTTTAAAGAAAAATGCTCGATTGAGAGCACAGTACACATAGAAATGTATGTATGTATATGCCGTTCCAGGATTCGAACAATTCGCAAAAGTAGTCAAATTACAACATAGTAGTTTTAACGGTGATACAAACTGCCAGATACGCAAGAGCGTACTTCAGTAGTACACTTCAGGAAAATTTAAATGAGAAGAAGAAAACACATGGCCTCCGCACGTGAAACCATTCAGCGTTCTTGCATAAGCGTAGAAAATAAAAAGAGAAAAAACAAAATTACAATATCTATAAGAAAAGAAATAAATTAAAGAATATATACAATATATATATATGTATGTATATGTATATATATGTATATAATATATACATATGTATATATATATGTATATATATGTATATAATATATACATATGCATATGCATATGATATGTATATATATATAAGTGTAGCGGATTGCGATTGCAGTTTATACGCTACTATAAAAAAAATGAAATAAAAAAAAATATATATATATACAAATATATTATATTTTGAAAGGAAACAGCAATGGAATTGCACGCAAGAAGGATATTATAGCTTATTTTTAGAAAAATAATATTGGGTTGCTTTCGTAATTGCCTGGTATTGTATAAAATATTTCAAGATCGAAATGCACGCGGGAAAATGCAAAATAAGAAAAAAAAACGGAAAAACATATCGTTGATGAGTAATTTATTATTATTACATTTCGTTGAGACGAAGATAAAACAAAATTTGGCATGATGATTGCGACCCATATTCTGCTAATTTTTGCAATAAAATGCTGTGTAAACGATAGACAGCGGAGGCTCGCGACAAAGAAAAAAGGATATTGATGTGTGCATGTGTGCGTGTGATGAGTGCACGTTCGTACGTGTGATACACGGCAACGTATATGTGTACGTGTATACTATATGCACGTCAAAAAACGCTAAAAAATGATTAAAAGATATATACAGTTCGATTAAAATGTGAAATATTGCTACTTCTTCAATTGTAGCCAATAAGAACATTAAGAAAAGTATGAACAGAAAACCAAAAATAATAATAAAAGAAAAATAAAAGAATCGTAAAACGAAGATGTAGAAACTATTGTCAATGGAGAAAGTAGAAGATAAAGTAGAATGCTTATTGAAACAAACAATTAAAAAAGAAAATAAAAATATAATAAAAATGAATACATGTCTCATCGCAGTACGTAATTAATTGTTGCTACCGCTGTTGTCACTGTGTCATATTGTCACCATCGTTACATTATTATTATGGTTGCTAATTACTACTACCATCATCAGTACTATAGCTATTAATTGCTACTACTAATTAATATCACTAAACTAATCATTGTCACTGTTGTTAACATTGTTATATTATTGCTATTATGATTCCTGTTTTTCTTGTTATTACTTATAATAAAACTTATAACTTAAATAAAATATAAAGAATATAATAAAACGATGGCGAACTTTTTGACACTTTAAAAGATGGGAAAGTAATCGGAAATTATAACAATATGGATATCAAATAAACGAGCTTGTCATATTTGATCAAATATTTTAAATATTGATTCACTTTAAACTGCGGATGATGAGACAAAAAAGCGTGTAATTTTTATTGATACACATCCAAGTAAAAGTATATACCGAATGTTGCAATTTGTTTTGAAAAAGTGATTTTCACAGGAACATATAATTCTACGACAGTTGTATTTCTTTTTCTCATACCTGGCGTAATATGAAAATACATATATCTTTAAATAAATAATCTGGAGAAATAAATAAAAGTGAGACAAACAAATGACAGAATAAATTACCAATATAATTAAAAATTTACATTTCGTTATGTTCCGCTCAATTATATAGTTTGATTGATTAGTTATTTTAGAGAAATTATTTAAAAGTATAAGTAGTATTAATATATTAAGCTCTTTTATTTTTATTTAAGATTTCAATCTAAATGTGATCAAAAAAATTTATATAGTTACTAATTTGTACATAATGTTTAAATTAATTCCAATTCAGATTAGAACTTTATCTTGAACTTCTATACTTAGTGCATATATATGTACAATATGCGTAAAATTATTCTAATATAAAACAAAAAAAAATAATGATATCCAGAATAAACAAAAAAATATACGCGTACATTATGATGCATTTTTTTGTTGTTATTTTTCCCTAAATGTATCACGATCAATAATAATCATAGAAACTATGACATCTATAATGAATAAAAATAAATATTAATGATATTTTTTTTTTAATATTCTTTTTCCTTCGAATAAATCTATGATTCATCATAGAAATTTTATCAAATATTGAGTGGAATGTAACGAAATTACTTCTCCAGATAATTATTTACATTTAATTAATTTCATATCATCTGCCTATTATCTATCATACTTTGATGAAATAAAACTGCTGGCAACACTGCCCTCTATACAAGCATATCGAAACAATGAAGAAGAAAGGAAACAACGGAAAAATATATTTTAAATCGATCATCCATTTGCATATTTTGCATTAAAATATAAGTATATTTATTTGATAAGATATGCCAGGTCAAGAAAATGTTAATTAAAATTTGATTTTATTATAATATTTATTATCACATTTTATTGTTGCAATGTACATTCATCACTATGTACAGAAAATATTCTGCCAATAAACTGTTGAATGGTTATCAAAAAAAATCAAAAAAAAAAAAAAAAGACAGAATCAAAACTATACTTCATATAAAGTAAACCTCAAAAACCTTGCAATTTAATTAATTTATTATTTAGCAATTTCAATGTACAGAAATAAATGATATTTTTTTTCATGATGTATTATAAATTCATATCTTCGTTCATAATTAATTAAGACAAAAATGTTTTAAAGCGCAATGTGTTTTTGCGCAAATTATTGTAATTATTCATATATTTTTAAAATTTATAAGTGTCATAACAAACTTAACAAAGTAACAGAATTATACACATAAATTATTAAAAAGGTAAGTAATAAATCATAATTGATAGTGCTATGTAAACATAACGTATTTTTCTATCGGAAAATTAATTTGAAGTCAGTAATGTTTGTTAAATGTAATAAAATCTTAGACATTAGACTAAGTAAATATTCTTATTTAATAATAAGTAAAAAGTAAAATTTTTTCGCGCATATTAAACAATAGCACCATATATAAATGTATGTATATATACATGTATGCGCGCATTTAAATACATATATATCCATATACATACATACATATAATATATATATAGAGATTAGATTAGATTAATTAAAGGAACGTTAATTATCTATCATTTAAATTGAAAATGTTACATGCAATAAACGGTTTTTCGAAAATTAATTCAAAATTCTGTATAAAAATTTTTTCCAGTTAACAATATTTAAAAACAATATTTACATTTGTTTACATATAGTTATTTTACTTTTAATCAGTATTCATAAGGCACGAAGCTCGATGTTTCGATAGTTGGTCGGAAGACACAGAAGCACTCGATCAGCGTGTCTATGAATTCATTTATGTAGTTATGTTATTAATATTTATTATGAATGTATAAAATTATTAATTAAAAAATTATTCTATTCTGTTACTAATGTCATTATAGTATAAATATATAAATGCATAAAGAGCAGTGTGAAAGCAAATGGATAATACTGTGTGATATTTTATGACACATTACATTTTTTTAAATTTAACATTCAATTAGTTGCAATTATTAAAAAATAAAATTTTTATATTTGATATTTTTTTTTTAAATAGCCTTAATATATTTCTATAAGTAATAAGTGTGATTTTAAGTTAGAAAAAATAAGTATCTGCATTATATCTGAAAAGTACAAACGGAAGAAATTATATTCTTCTTCTTACTAACTTCATAATTCCATTTAGTCGACTAGAAGCTCTTGAGTTTATAAAAGTTTTAATCAGAAATTAGAATCTCCATAATATAAACGTCACGTGAGAGTAACAAAATTTATAGCACTTAGTCGTATTCAAGTATTACAAATTGGAACAACCGGATTATTATCTGAGATAAGCGTACGTTGTTATATTCAGTTCAAATGTTTAATATGCTAAGTATCCGAGAATATTACTATATCAGCTGATTTTTCCTCTTCTGTTGATATAAATGGAGTAACTACTTGCATGTTGACTGATATATACAAAGGATAAGTGAGTTGTTTATCCAAAGACATTACCTGTTTCTAAAGTGTAAATTTGATTTACTTTAACAACTTGAATCATTTTTTTACAATTAAAAAATTTATAAATATTACTTACTTCTTCATTCTTATGAAGTGATAACCTAAGCATACCTGAACTCTGAATATGTTTTACTTGACGTTGTTCATCTAAAGAAATTAGACTTACTCTGAAAATAATTTTTTTTCAAAATTTTAATTATATAATTATTTAAAAGATCATAATTTTTAAACTAATACTAACTTCAGAATTATATTATGTTTGCTATGATTTGCTTTTATATGATCTGTATCTAATCTGTGATTCCTTTTAATTCTTAAAGTAGTACTATCTAAGCAAACCACCAAATCTAAACCAAAATGAAATGCTGTCCATCTCCAAATATGTTCACCAGCTTTTTCGATGCATCTTCCACAACGGAAACATTCACGAGCGAATTCTTCTTC